TTCCATGTATGAAAATGAGAAGGTAAATCCATAGAAATAGGAAGTAGGTCAGTGGTTGTCTGAGGCAAGAGGCAGCAAGAAGGTATGAGCAATAACTGGTAATTGGCCCTGGGTTTTATTTTGGATGAATTTGTTTCATAATCAATAGTTGTAAAAGTGCATGAATATTCCAGAACACAGTGAATTCTAAAACTTAAATGGGTGGCTTGTATGCATTTTGGGTGGTGTCTCAATAAAAAGACGTGTGGGAGAGATCCAGAGCAAGGTAGAACATGAGAAATTTCAAGTGCTGCTGAAAATCCGCATGCTATGATGAAGCATATATAGAAGAAATGACACTTTGGGTTTTAGTTAGAGAAGCCCATGAAAGAAATCCAGAACTCCTGGTGGAATTATATGGAGAATTCCTTGCAGCTGCAGGAGACAGCTGGGGATTAAGCAACAGCTGACCTGTCGAGAAGTTTTTGTTGCATGGTGGAGAACTGCTCGACAAAAGTTTGTGGCATGAACAGTCAAAGCTAGTTGGACAGAAATTGGCTTAATGGCACCACTAGAAATTGGGGTTTGAAATCCAGGAAAGTAAGCACCCAGCGACAGCAGTCCTCCAGTACACCGTTATCAGGATGTATTGCCCATGCTAAGAGAATGAGACATAAAATGTGGACCTTTAGACAAGAGATTTGGTGAAACAAAATGAATTGCATTTCAGTCAGGATTGTGTAAAATTATGGTGCTTAGATTTTCACTCCTCAGTTGCGTAAGTGAGTTTGAACTTTAGATTGTATGTTTACACAAAAGAGAGTTTTAACTCAGAATAGACTTTCACATTTTAATTAACAAAGTTAATCCTCACTTTGTCCAACCTCTGCCTCTAATTAACTGGAGTAGGTTTTCCAGAATGTGATGAGGTTAGCTATAGAAAACAACGATATTTTAATAATTAACTTAGAGGCTGGATGTTGTAACATACAAACTTCTACACCCTAATGGATGTAGATAAATGCCCTAAAGCAACTCTGTCTCAAGGAAATAGATAGCAAACCAGCATTCAATTAGTGTGTACTCCAGTAGACTACAGAAAATGTGAATGGAAAAACAGAAAAACCTGAAATACTTTCACCTACACACCTGTTCTTTAGATAAAACAAGAATTTAAGAGGCAAGAATATGTTTTGTTACCAGGAAAACAAAAATGGATTCATCAATTTGAATAAAAAACCAGGTAAGGAATTTTAGTACTAACTCACATATTCATTAAGCATAAAAGGGGAACTATTCTCCACTTTTATCACCACAACCATGGGTTACATTTGTTCAAGATTAGATCAAAGTAGCAGCTAAGAATATTCCATTCTGCAGTTGTTCAAGGATGACAGTTGAGAAAGTTGGATAGCAGAGGATAAAAATAACACTTGTTTGGGCATAAATAGTGTTTTGTTTTTAATTCAACAATGCGAATGCTTCTCATCTTATCACAAACTCCAGAAACCTAAAGAAATAATTCCGCAGTATTATAAAGTTCGCTATCACGTCAAATTACAATTATTCTTGTTTTCTGAAAAAAAAAAAAAAACCCATAGATACGAGAATAAATTGAGGCAATGATAAAATAATCAATAGCCATTGGGTTTAATTCAATTTCAAGTTTACCATGTAGTAAATGGCATGCATAGTCTCTGAGTAGTTTTTCCACTGTTGTAAAAACAAAATGTTTGACAAGTTGGTTAATAGCAATTTAAAGGCAGAAGCAGAAACAGAGATGGCTTCTATTTGAATGCTCAATTTTAATAGAGATAGAGAGCTTGATAGAAATGTGGAATCTTTAGATCCCAGCTTGATGGTCAGTTACAAACAGCAAAAGGTGCTTTAAAAGCTCCTCTGGAAAGTATTATCACTGCACTCCAGAATCGGCAGAGGGTACAAACACCACGCTATCTTATTTTGACATGTGTACTTTGAGCCAAGAGAATCCTGATTATGGTCAGTTTCCTATCCTGTATGCAAGTTATATAGAGATGCATAATTTATTTATTTATTTATTTTGTAGATTTGATGTGTTTGAATGATAGCTGTGTATATATCTGTATGTGTCTATGTGCATTGGTTTCTAGTGACTTTGTAAGGTTACTATGGGACAAGAGCTAAGAAGTTAACACACAGAGAAAGTTTACTGTTTATTTCCCCTTGTTTTAGCCAACCAATACAATAAAGAACTCCAGATGAGTAAGCCCCAGTGGTCAGGGAATGATGTCTTTTCTGCAATGATCACGTTTGTGGTAGCCTATTTTCCTGGTGATAGTGAAGCTTGGAGTTGGAATTAAAAATCCTTGGGAGAAAAACTATTTTGGTAATTCAGCTGGAGTGTCCTTGTCATTGGGTTTCCCGTTGCCTCAGTCAGTACCTTAGCCTGGTAAGACAGCTGTGACAGTGTTTTATCTTTTAGATGAAATGCAGAACTAAGGACATGTCTACTGGTGCTTATTAAAGATTCCTTGCTATTTTCACAAGAGTAGGGGCGTTAGACTCTTGTCTACTGGCCAGATTCTAAATCAGGAGATTACATTTTGCTTTCTTAAATTCCCTCAGCAGAAGCAGCACCCATGGTATCCTACTTTGTAGTGTGATGTTATAAATGGTTCAGGTTTTATATGCCACAAGTGCTCTCATTTTGGGGGCGTGTGAGGAGTAAATTGACACCTATTGTTTTATATTGTAGTTGATCTAGTTACCTCCCTTCGTTTTATGGAGGTATAACTGACAAGCATGGTGTATTTGTTTCAGGTTCAAAATTTAATGTCTCCTAGCACATGTGCTTATATTATGAAATGGTCATCATAACTGAGCTAGATAACATAGTCATTATATCATACCAGTGTGATTTTCTTTTTCTTTCTTTTAAAAATAATTTGTTTAATTGGAGTATAATAGTTGTTCTTATTTAAGGGACGCAGTATTACAATTCAGTACACAAAAACATAAGCAAATAGTCTTGATTCAGTTTCTAAAAGTAGGCTCATATGTAGAATAAGCAAACAAAACACACAGTACAGTAATAGTACTTTTAATTTTTAAAAGCACTTTGTTTTCTCTTTTTCAACATGACAAAAGAAGGCATATTTTTACTCCGATAGTAGCTGGCAATATTATTTGCCTCCTTTATTTAAAAGCAGTTGATTAAATCTCTCTCCTCCTTTCCTCCTCTTCTACCTTCCCCTCCCTTCATCTGATTTTTTGACTCATGGTCTTTGCTATATAGCTTGGGTTAACCTTGAATTTGTGATTTTCTTGCTTTAGTCTTCTGAGGACTTGGATTACAGGTATGTGCCAAATGACCCAAGTGTGTGTGTGTGTGTGTGTGTGTGTGTAGATAGGATTTAACCATCCCAGTTGATCTTTCTATTTTATACAGTATTTTTTGGAATGGATTTCTTTCTAGGTAATATATTTTAGTGTTTTCCAATCTTTCCAGCCATAAAACAAAGTTTTCCTTTCTGTTTAACTTTGACACTACTCTACTAGAGTTTAATGTCGTTTTTCTTTTCTTAACCATTTTTTAATACTGACACCTAAAAAGTGCTTAATAAATAGTTGCAATGTTTCTGATCAGATATAGCTGAGTTAATTTATAAATGTGAGAGTGGAAAGCATATATATTTTGTGCACATGTCTCAGATTTTAGCACAAGGTCACTAGGATGTGCATAGAGGCTCAATGTTTAGTATGTGAATATGCCTCTCTTTTCTTCCTGCTGAGTGGAATGAAATGCTCTCAACTCTTTGTAAGGTCCACTACATTTTAATCAAAGGTGCCAAAAACCAAAACCCCAAAACTTCTACTGTGTACATACAAACAGACAGATTCCTCATTTTGTGGGGGATATTTTGACATGATGTAGACACAATGGAGATCATTTATTTTCTATCAGGTCCATTTTTAAATTAAGTTTTACATCTGATTATTGTAATTTCACAGCCTCTTCTTCAGTGCTCAGAATGGTACTGACTCAATCTTACACCTCCTCATTCATTCAAGCAGTTTTGAGAATGAGAATTAAGAACTATCTCGTATATATGAACAAAATCTTCTAATTTGTAATCAAGTACAGTACTTGACCTATATACTTATCTCTAAGGTCTGGACATTACAGATACAATTTGAATTACTTTGTTTTCAAGTTCCAACCCAGAACAGTCCATGGCCGCAAGTCTGAAAACACAAAGAACATCTTTGAGTCTGTGAAGTGTTTGTGAGGCACTTATTTATATATTTTTGCTTTTATATGTTCTTCCTGGACTACGAGGAGAAGATGGAGGGAACAAGTAGAAGATATACAAGACAGACGGATTGAATTGGGCTAGCAAATTCTCAGAACAACCATGGTGTCTGGTTAGGTTAGCATTAAAGACCACTTCCCAGACTGCTTTGTACATTTTTTATAGTGGCTGTCTCAGGTGTGGGGCTCCAAGGAGCACCTGTTTGCTTACACTCCAACAGTTCAGAACCAGTGTATTTGAGGCCGGGTGGCTCAGGTTCCACCTAACTGGGCTCGAGAGTCACAAACACTACATGCAATGGGATGTCACCAAGGTGTGCTTTGGAACTTGGATGCTTATTTCAGACTTTCTTCTTTTTTTCCCCCTACACTAGTTTCTGTCTCCATGCTTCCTCTTGGAGCTTGCCCACCTCCTCTCCTTCCTCTAGCTCCTCCCCGTCTTGTTGTCTTTTTCCTTCCCCTTCACTCTTCCGTTTTCCATCTTCGGCCAGGAGCCCAGCTACCATGAGGCTCAAGTCTGGCAGCACCCACCATAAGCGCCAAGCCACGAAAGCTCCGCAGACCCGGGCGCGCGCACGTCGGAGCAGTAGTGGGGCCGGGCAGCCCGGCTGCAGAGCCGCGCGCGCGCGTAGCCCGCGAGCCCCCGGCGCGCCCCCGCGGCCGGGGCCGCAGCGTGCTCGCCCCCGCCGCCAGCTCGCCTCACTTATGGGTCGGAAGCGCTGCGTGAGGGAGACTGTTCCAAGATGGCGGCGGGTTGCTGTGGGGTGAAGAAGCAGAAACTGTCCAGTTCGCCCCCCTCAGGCTCGGGCGGTGGTGGTGGCGCCTCCTCCTCCTCCCACTGCAGCGGGGAGAGCCAGTGCCGAGCCGGGGAGCTAGGACTAGGAGGCGCCGGGACGCGGCTCAACGGGCTGGGCGGGCTGAGCGGCGGCGGTGGCGGCGGCGGCTGTAACCTCTCTCCCCCCCAGGGCTGCGGCGGCGGCGGGGGCATCTCGCTGTCTCCACCTCTGAGCTGCGGAGTGGGAACCCTACTTTCTACTTCGGCCGCCGCCACCGCCTCCTCGCCGTCCTCCTTGTCCTCATCCCCGGGCTCCCGGAAGATGGTGGTGTCAGCGGAGATGTGCTGCTTTTGCTTCGATGTGCTCTACTGTCACCTGTATGGATACCAGCAGCCCCGGACCCCCCGCTTCACCAACGAGCCCTAGTGAGTACCGCGCTCCTCGTCGCCCTCTTCCCCCGGGCTCGGGATAGGGCTCAGAGTTGAGGCAAAGTGCAAGTCCTCCCGCCTCCTGCTCTCGCGGGTGCTCCTCAGCCCCTCTCGTTGCCCCAGTCCCCAGAGCCGCCCGACCCGAGGGGCACTCAGCGCTCCTCTGCTCCACGAGGCGAGCAACCCACACTTGGAGCAGGGGACTGCTTGCCAGACATGGCCCCCTGGCTTCCAGACTGCTCCGCTTCCTCTTTGCGCTAACTTCCAAGAGTTTTGACCCTTTCCTTCGGTCCTTTCCACCCCTCACCCTCCACCCCACCAGCGTTTTTGGAGATGTGGATCACTGTTGGTACCGACTTCCCCTCACTTTGCTCTCCATTACCCCACCTGAAAGCCCTGTCAGTATTCCCGCCCCGCGTACCTTGCACATGGAGAGCTACTGTCCCATTGCAGGGTGAAAAATAGCAGTGATCTAACTTCTATTCTGCTAGTGATGGAACTTAGCTTTCGACCTCTAGGGAGGTTGCCCATCTTTTCCTTCGGGTTTCCCAGCTCCTTGGGGAGGGGAGAGGTTTCTTAAAACACCTTTCGCCTTACTACCTATTTTTATCTGAACATAACATTAAAATGTGTTTCTAGTGAAGCTAGCGCACCACCAGCTTCCTCACATTTGAGAGTGGGATTTTCCCCCCTTCCTTCTTCATTCCAGTGTCTGGGTATAGTACAGCCAAAGAACGTTTTCCCCAAAGAGGCACTGTCAATTTGTACCAAGCGTGCACTCGCTTTTGTGTGGATTTCACATTTAAGCAACCTATGTTAAACTCAATGATTTGAAGAATAGTTAAACAATCCAGTAAATGTGTAGACACTTTTACGATTTTCTTGGTTTTTGTACTTTACATGATTTTACCCTTCAAGTATATGGTTGAAATTGTTTAAAACAGCACTGTTACAAGCTAAAAGCCAGGTTACTTCTAATCTCTGTCCATTTGGATGTGTGGGAGATGGGGCATATGGTTTTTCTTTTAAAATGTGTAAACTGAGTGTAAACTGACTTTCTGAGTTAAATGCTAGACAGAATGTAAAATCCAAAAGAAAGCAGAATGGGAAAAAGTACGATTGTTTTTATGACTACTCATATCTTCAAGAAAAATACAGAAAAAAATTTCAGTACACTCATCCTGAAAACCATCATCCCCCTCCCTTTTGCCTAAGAGCTCCTTGTTTCCCATGGCGTAAATACCTGAATTGATGTTCTTTTTAACTCGCTGCTTTTCATTTTGTGAGATTAGAAGAATGAACTACTGCTGGATAATTATAAACAGTCTGACTCTACTACAGTATTAAATTAATATGTAAAGTGGAAATTATAATAAAGTGTCCTGGAAATTGTACATTTGTATTGTTTGTTTTCTTTGCTTTCATTCTTTGAATGTCTTTAATTTTGTATGACTCTGCTGTGCTCTGTGCATTTCTTTAGATTTGTTTCCTCTTTCGGGCATCACTTCATGAGAAATGTATGAAAAGGTGTCCAGGTTGACACTGTCAAGTAAATTAAGTACTTTTGTACATTTCCTACTGTTAATTTTAGGAGCTTAAATCCCAAGTCCACACCTTTATTTGGCCTATTTATTTTTTCATTAAGAAGTAAAATTATTTTTAAAAAGATGGAAATGTTAAAAAAGAATCTATGAAATACTAGCTCAAGTCATTTATTTGTGACTTCCCCCCCCCCCTTCTCTTGGGAGGCTGTGATGTAGTAAAAGCTAGACGTGGGATGATACTTAGATTGGTTCTGTAAAGTCATGGGACTGTAAAAATTTACTCCTGTTCAGTTCTTGAGCTGTTACATGAGTTTGGCAAAGGCTGGTTTAGCATTCACGCTCCAGTGTTCCAAAGAATATGAAAACACACTTTCAGGAGGTGCTATTTTCGCACATTTTAAAGTGAGTTTGGGTTAACTAAATGACTATAACAACAGTTAAGAGGAAAATGAGCTTGACCAGTGTTCATAAAGGAAATGCTTTAAAAATTTTTTAAACAGTGGCTACTTTCCACACATACTTAGGTTGTTTCCTTTTTAATATCCTAGTTGCTGAATTTCTGCCTCTCAAGTTATTAAGCAGATAAATAAGACACCCATTTGACCACTGTGAATATATTGAGATAGTAGTAAAAGAATTGGAGTTATGAAGGGTTAGTAGGCTTTCAGTGTGTCCCATTTCTATAGATGAGCTAGTTTATAGAAGGCATTGAACCTGAGCAATCTGAAAATGAAGGACTGTCTCATTTTCATTTAAACTAATTTTTAAAGTGTACGATGTCAAAGTCAAGAAAATCTGATTGTAGGAGTAAAATAACTGATTATTTCACAGTACTGTGGTAACCAGCACACATTTTTCCTTTTTATGTATTTGATGATATTGTGTGCTTATTAGTGTGGCATCGTATAGGCTTAGGTTTTTTTTTTTTTCTCTCCACTGTCTTATGGATATAATATCATGGGCAGCATGTTTAAGGTCTGTTTTTGTTTTCCTATCTACCAGAAGACATGCTTTTGACAATTTTAAATTGTTATATGTAAAAAGCCTATTGTTGTCATCTCCTCCTAGGCTCTGTCAGAATGTTTGTAACTGGTGGAATCCTACTTTTATAGATTTAGAAGTTGCAGATATATTCGTTACCCTGCCACTTTAAAAGGTCATTAGAAATTTCAATTATTTATGTGATTCAGGGTTGGGAAAGAGGTCATCTATGAAAGGTCACATAGATACAAATAGGCCTTGGTTGCCCTTGTCTTTTGAGTACCCAACCATTGCAGAAAGCACATTTTATTTTCTTCTCCAGAAATAAGGTTCAAGATACAAGGAAACCATAATTTTAGGTCCATTTTCCTATTCAACAATCAAAGCATTTCTTCTATGTGAGGAAGCTCACACAAGCCATATTAGGATAACCTGTTGTTTACTATAAAGGTTCCACTGTGGCAGGTGTGGAACCAGTTAGACTCCAGAACATTCCTTTTCAACCATGGCTGCACGTTGGATTTACTGGGAAGTTATTCAGAATGTGGAAACCTGCACACTAGCCCCAGAGATTCTGATTTAGTCCATCATGGATGGGACCTGGGAATCAGAATCATTCAAAACTCCCCAGGTAATTTTTAGTGTGTAGTTGGAATGGAGAACTGCTGGCTATTTTCTAGGTTTTTCTTTTGAGATTTGGATTAATTTGATCAGGGGTAGTGCCACGTACTCCATATTTTATGAGCATCTTGGGTAATTTTGGCAAACAATTAATTTGGTGAATACTTACAATGTGATCCATAAAAGACACCACCTGGGAGCTTATTAGAAAGGTAGGCTCCCAAGGCCCACCTCAATCCCCCTGAATTAGAATCTGCATTTTAACAAGTTCCCCAGGTATTTCTCATACACGTTAATGTTTATGGCAGACTTGTTCTCTAACTTTAGCATACATTGTAGTTTTATGTTGTGCTTGTTAAAACTGCAAGTTGCTGGGCACATTCCCAGAGTTTGATGTACATGCTCTGGGGTGGAGCTGTACATTTGCATTTCTAACAAGCGCCCTGGTGATGCTGATGCTAGAGTAGCTGGGGTCACACACAGAGTAACTGGGCTAGAGAGAAATGGGGTCCTGAATGGGTGCTTGAGTGACTGTGGCAGTTTGGACTGGTCCTCATTCTGTTTTTCTCTCCCTTATCTTTCTCACATAACACTAGGGAAACTGAGTGTAACCAAGAGCAGGAATCAGATTCTGGGGATGGGATTACTCTAAGAAACTTTTACATGATTTTAGGTTTTAAAAAGAAAGTGAGTCACGTTGAAGGGTGTATTTTAGGAGTAAAAAGCAACACAAATGGAATTTCTTTACGTGAGGTTATTTTTTGTTGTTGTTTTGTGTTTTAGTAAAGACTCTCTTGTTTTCATGAAAAGTAGTTTTACAGTTGGCTCCCTAAATAAAGGGATATAATGAGATTTTTAAAAAGCCCTTATTTGTACTTCCGTTTGCTAGAACTTATTTAAAGAATTTCCCTCATTAGTAAAGAAATATGAAAAGGGTCCTGGTTAAAGCGCTGAGACTGTATAGTCTTAGGTTTTTAATGTTGTAGTATGTGTTATATATCCTGAACCTTTTAATTATCTCACCACTTGGGAAATTAATGTAATACTAGATTTTGTATAGACAGTTGCACATGGGTTTTCTTCTTTTAAATATCAGTAAATGTGATTTTCTGTTGCAAGGAACAGGATATATATTTTTTCTACTCCACTCTTGGACATGCATATCTTGCTTATAAAGCTCAAGTCAGAGGACTGAGCATTAACTCTTGTAACTCTGGTAAAAGTACCATTTTCAACATGCTTGGGTGGAGGGGGGTTGTGTTAGAGCTGTAGGCACTGTGTTCCACCAGAGTAGTAGTAATCCTGCTTATTGACCTGTCAAGAAAGATGATTTGATAATGCAATTCAGGTTAAAATGATAGTAAATTAGCATTTCAGCACAAAGCTTTTGCATTTCTTGTCTTTTTTTGGATGAAGAGTGACTAAAATAAGGAGAAAGTGTATTTTCTACTGCAGATGATCCAACTGGACCATGACAGATTTCCTTATCCATACTAACATAATGGTACTATCTTTTTCTGACATTTACTGAGACCTTTGAAGGTATAATATGGCTTTTTGTACCAATGTTAATTTACATTGGAGAACAACTTAATGTCTTTTCTTACTGATAGAGAAGACAGGTATGTTCTCACTTATTACTTGTGCCACAAATCCATCAGTGATTGACACAGAAGTGTAGAAAAATAAATAATTAAAACTATTTTTATATCTGATCATACAGGTATATATACAGCTGAGTATATTTAGCTAAAAAATATAGAGCTGTGTTTATTTTTTATTCTTCCCCATATGGCTGAAAAAAGTGATAATCTAGTCCATATTTTTTTCTTGCTTATAAATTGTGCTTGA